AAATAAATAAAATCTTTAAAAAAAAGAGAGAGAACATGAGCAGGAGGAAGGAGCAGAGGGAGAGGGAGAAGCAGACTCCCCCGCTGTGCAGGGAGCCACACGCAGCACCCTGGGATCATGACCTGAACTGAAGGAATTAACTTATTTACCCCTAACCGATGGATGAGGAAACAGACTCTGTCACATTGCGAGTTCGTGGCAGTCTGAGAATGGAAACCACCGATGTTCGGCTCGCGCTCGCTCCTCTGCCCCAGGACGCGCTAACCCGCCACGCATCGAGAGCCCGCCACTGTCACGGGCGCTTTAACGACTGAGCCACCCAGGCGTCCCTAAAATTTTGTTACTTTAAAAATTGTTGGTGCTTCCAAACTTTCCCCCTTCCGTTCAGTATCCATCTGTATTTTATTGTCATCTGCCCATTCAAGTCCTTTACCATTTCTTTTCTTTTTTTTTTTTTTTTAAAGATTTTGAGAGAGAGAGCATGAGAGGGAGGAGGGTCCGAGGGAGGAGACGCCCTGCTGAGCAGGGAGCCCGATGTGGGACTCGATCCCGGAACCCTGGGATCATGACCTGAGCCGAAGGCAGTCACTTAACCAACTGAGCTACCCAGGCGCCCCTTTACCATTTCTAATATATGGTTAATTGGGTTTTTTTCTGGGGTTTTTGGTTTGGTTTTGGCTTACCATTTTCTGATTTGTAAGCGTTCTCGGTGTATTAGCCCTTTATCTTTTTTTTTTTTAACGCGTATTTTCCCTCAGGTTCCCTTTTGACTACTTAGGGTTTTTTTCGTTGCTTTTTAACCCCAAAGCCAAACTACTCTAGGTAGAAGGTGACCTCTGAGTTAACTGCGGAAGGCCAGGTGAAGTTGGTTGGGTGCCCGGACAAAAGGGCATAGTAGCAAGAGAACACCGTGAATCTCAAAACGAAAAACAATGACTCCGCACATTCCAACCGGCGCACGAACGTGACCCTAGCCCCACCTACAGCCAGCCTCTAGTCTCCTCCTCCAGGCCGGCGCCTGGCGCTTGTGTCTGACGTCACGGACGCACCGCACAGTTCACTTAGGCCGCGCAACCTCCGTGGCCGTCCCCCCGGCGCGCAGATGCGAGTATTCTTGCGGCGCCGGAAGTCAAAGGCACGTGACCGGGTGACAGCCCTCTCTAGGTTGCCGGGCTCGCTTTAGGTGTTGGCACGGGATGGCGGAGGCGCCTCCTGTCTCAGGTACTCTCCCGGCCGGTGCGTGACTGGGCCCCTCTCGGGGAGCGGAAATTGGGTCAGTGGCGAGTCCTAGGGCTCCGGCCATTCATATCGCGAGAGCGGCGCGTACTAGGGCTCGGGATAGTGGCTCGGAAGGGCCAAGCCACGCGCGTCGTGGGTTCCGAGACCTCGACCGTCTTCCACTGGGTTGTGAAACCCCGGTTTCCAGGGACAGCGGGTTTGTCCCGGCGCCCAGTGAATCGATGTGGGCGTCTCGCCTGCTGCGGTACGTCACGCCTTCAACCCGGCCCTGCTAGTGCAGAGGCCGCACTGATCACCAGTAGGCGGGCGTCGGCCGAGTCACCGCCCGTGACGGTGACGGGCTCTCGATGCGTGGCGGGTTGGCGCGTCCTGGGGCAGAGGAGCGAGCGCGAGCCGAACATCAGTGGTTTCCATTCTCAGACTGCCACAAACTCGCAATGTGACAGAGTCTGTTTCCTCATCCATCGGTTGGGGGTAATTAAGTTAATTCCTGTGAAAGCTCTCACCCTGTACGGTACCTGTTCTATAATTGTTAGCCCACTTCTCTTGGAGTTGGTTCTATGTGTAGAACAGCTTCATTTGGCTGTTAATGTGGCATCCATTTCCATTTCCTTCAGGGGGTACTTTAGGTCTTTGTTCTCCAAACTTTTTGGGCAGAGACCAAAAAGAAACATTTTACATCTGACTCAGTGCACACGTGTGTAAATATAAAAAAGAACCAAAAGTTTTAGGACGTAATGCTTTTTCTTACTAATTGTAGTACACTCTTATTTTCTGTTTTCTTTGAAAAAATACTTTTCACAACCCACTACGTTGATTTGATTTCAGGACCCACTCTTTCTGAAAAATAGGACAGCAGTTTGCAGAATGTGATTTGTAAACAATCATTGATTTGAGTCTTAGTTCTGCCACTTACCAGTGTTGGGGCACCAAGAAGAGTGTATGTGTGTTTGTGTACTGGGTGGCAGCTAAAATGTACTTGTTACTGTGGGTCTTGGTCAAAAAAGTTGCATTTTCCAAACCCTAGTCCTGATTTAGGTTTTAAATCTTGTGGGATGGGAACCTTTTTAGGTTAGTTCGGTGTTTTGTTATTCTCCCACCCATTTTTTTCCCCAGATCCTCTAAACTGGATCCATTGATCTTCCCATCCTCAGGCTCACTTCTGGCCCATTTCTACACCCTTCAATGTTTGAGGCAGGATTGGGTGAGGCCAGTTGTGAGTTACAGTTTTGGCCTCCTTTGTTCCCCAGGTTCCAACCTCCTCCCCATCTATTCCGGCAAAGTTCCCTAGTCCAGAGACCTTTCCAGTCCCTCTCCCGTTCCTTAGTTTGTTTTTGCTTTGGTTCCCATTCCGTACTCTTATTTCAGCATCATCTTTAGCCCACACCTCCATCTCCACTCAGGGTTTAGTTCTCTTGCCCATTCCTGTCCTCAATAGCAGACAGGTTCAGGGATATCTTCCTGCCCATGGGCAGACTCTCCAATGCCAGCTTTATTTCTAGACTTCATAATCTCATGGATTTCCCCTTATTCTTCTCCACTCACCTGTTGGACACTTACTATGCTGCTATGTTTTCTTCGACTTGTATCCTATTTACTGAGTAACTTCTAGCTACTTAAAATACTAAAGAGAAAAGGGGGTGGTGTCTCAGATGCAGATTCCTGATTCATGTACCCTTTTTCCCTTCCTCCTACCTCTCAAGGATCTTTCTGAGGGCATTACCTACTACCTCATGTCTAATGGAACCATACTGTATATGAATAGGTGAGGCCCTGTCTAGACTCTCTAGTTGATCAACTCCTTACTGCTTGCTGAACATGGAGCACCTTCTTCCCATCCTTTACCAGGCTATTCTGGACAACTTTACTGACTTTTCTTCTGCCCCTCTCCAACTTTGTTTCTTCAAGAAGGAGAGGACTTTACAACACCCACTCGGTCTAATCTACCCATTCCCACCTTTATGTTCTTTCGTATGTTTCTGGAACATCTCCTTTGCCACCTTCTGAATCTGTCTAATCCTCTTTGTTTTGTAAGGCTTTCCACCCCATCCCCAGAATTGCCTGTGTGAAAACTTTCAGGACAGATCCTGGATTGAGTGAGAGGTTACCCTATGACCTTTATGATCTCATTCAGTTCTTGAGTACATGTTTCTGTGGTACCCACTGCCCAGCCTCTGACAGTGCAGTGTAAGAGTGTGGTTTTTAGGGCCGTATAGCCTGGGGTGGAATCCTGAGTCTGCTTTGGAACACCTCTGTGGCCTTTGGCAAGTAACTTTCTCAGTGTCTCAGCTTTCTCATCAGGAATGTAAGGATTAAATGAGTTAACAGATGCAAAGTGTTTAGAATAGTGCCTGGCACATGCTAATTACCTAATAAATGTTAGCGTTTATTATTAAACCTGAAACCGACAGGCCCTGCACTGCACCCATCTGAGGTCAGGTCTGTGTGTTTTAGATAGTCTGTAGTCCTAACAGCAAAAATAAAGCACCATTTTAACTACTTTATATATGTTACTAACTTGCTTTATTCTTCATAGCAACTCTTTGATGTAGGGATTGTTACTTTCTCCATTCCTTATAAGAAAATTGGGGTTAAGTCATTTGCATAAAGACACAAGTGATGTGCAGGGACATAAACCCATGTCTTCCAAGCCCTATTGATTCATAGTACAGTTGACCGTTAAATATCATGTGGTTAAGGATGCCAATCCCCCGCACAGTGGAAAATCCACGTATAACTTATGATTCCCCAGAAACTTAACTACTAACAGCCTACTGTTGACCGGAAACCTAACCAGTAACATAAACAGTCGATTAACACATATTTTGCATGATATATGTACTATATACTGTACTCTTAAAAATAAAGTAAGCTAGAGTAAAGAAAATGTTATCAGGAAAATCATGAGGAAGAGAAAATATGTTTACTGTACTGTAAAAAATTCACATATCAGTGGACTTGTGTAGTTTAAAACTTGTGTTGTTTAAAGGTCAACTGTATAATCCATATGCTACACATAATTCTGACTTTCCTACTAATTAGTTTTGTATCCTTAGGCAAATCATTTAGTCTTTGGGCTTCAGGAACAAAGAAGCACATTGGGGGGAAAAATGAGTGGGTTGAAGAGGCATATGCTTAATTTTTGAGACTCAGATTCTGGACTATATTATAAAGGTTACATATGGAAAACCTAAAGTATATTCCTGGGTTGGGGGAAGAGATGGGAACTAATGTACTCATTAAGTTTATCTGTATGAAATCTTAATTAAATTTCACAATAGCCCTTTGAAATAGTATCATCTTTTGTCATGGATGAGAGAATGAAGGCTAAAAGCAATCAAGTGATATCCCTAGGCTCATACCATAAATTGGAGGGCCAGACTTCAAACTGATTCTGGCTGACTCCAAAACCTGTTTACTTGATATTACACAGTGCTACCTTAAGAGTTTTGAAAGACCACATGGAACCTGCTGATTGATTCTCACCTCAGAATTGTTTGCTGACCTGAAATTTTTTGATAAAATAAGTGCATGTATAAATAATGCCTGATTAGGATGCCTGGCTGGCTCAGGAGGCACAGCACGGGACTCTCAATCTTGGGGCTGTGATTTCAAGCCCTATATAGAGCGTGGAGCTTATATTTAAAAAAATAAATAATAATAATAATAATGCTTAATCACCCAGGTGAGGAGTTTTACTTAGTAGTTCTTAGCAGTGGCTATTGGTGAGGTTACTAGACATGGAATGGTCAGTGTTCCACAAGCACCTTGAACCCATCACATTCACAGGAAACATAGGCCTCACTAAGAGCCTGTTTTATACAAGTCCTTAGGAAAATAATATTTAGATTATGGCTTAGAGTCTTCTGGGCTTCATGGGTGATGATTAATTTCTTCACTGGCATGTCTATTTTCTTATGTCCTAGGTACTTTTAAATTCAATACGGATGCTGCTGAGTTTATTCCTCAGGAGAGAAAAAATTCTGGTCTAAATTGTGGGAGTCAAAGGAGACTAGATTCTAATAGGATTGATAGAAGAAATTATAGTTCACCACCTCCCTGTCACCTTTCCAGGCAAGTCCCTTATGATGACATCTCTGCTGTTCATCAGCACAGTTATCCTTTGGGAGGCAAACCTAAAAGTCAACAGATTTCTTTTCAGTCCTCTGCTTCTAACAAATCACTCAAGAGCCATGGCCTTCAGAATCAACCTTGGCAGAAATTGAGGAGTGAAAAGCAGCATATCAAAGTCAAGAAAGTACAGAATCTCACTGACCAGACCTCAGATGCAGCTGGCTTAGAAAGTGTGGCAAGGTCAGAGAGTGGGACAAACCCCAGAGAACACAGCCCTTCTGAGAATGAGAAGGAAATTGTTGGTGCAGATCCCAGGGGAGCAAAACCCAAAAAAGCAGCCCAGTTTGTGTACAGCTATGGTAGAGGACCAAAAGTCAAGGGAAAACTCAAATGTGAGTGGGGTAACAGAATGACTCCAAAATCTGAGGATGCTGGACCTGAAAATACCAAACCTGTGGGGGTTATCCACCCTGACTCTTTGGATACATCCTTTAAGAAAGGAGTATTGGATGGGTATGCGGCCAAACGCAATGAGCAAAGAAGATACCCACAGAAAAGGCCTCCCTGGGAAGTGGAAGGGGCCAGGCCACGACCAGGCAGGAATCCACCAAAACAAGAGGGCCAACGACATACAAATGCTGGGCCCAGAAACAACATGGCCCCCATTCCAAAGGATAATCCTAATGAAAGACCAGCAAAATCTGCCTGTGACAATGGGAACTTGGCAGTCGTCAACAAGTCTTCCAGAAGGGTTGACCCAGAGAAATGTGCTGTAAGGAGGCAGGAGCCTCAAGTAACATCTTTCCCCCGAGGCAAACAGAACCACGTGCTAAAGAATGTGGAAACACACACAGGTAAATCTACCTAGAGGGTAGAAGTGTTTTGTTTTGTTTTGTTTTGTTTTTTAATAGATAATACACAGAGTTCAGGAACCAGAAAGTATAAAAAGGTACACAGTGAAACATTTCTCTCTGTCCTTGTTCATCATCTGCCTGGGTCCTGCCACCACTTGCTTCCCTCCCCAGTAGATAGCCACTTACTTAGTTTTTATATATCATAAGCAAATACAAATAGGGAACTTCTTTTCTTAACAAACAAGGAATTTAGTAAGGGTTTTTTAAAATGCAGGTATGGGTCTTACAGATGTTTGGTTACAAGATTTTTTTTTTTTTTAAATCTTGAAAGCACAAGTAGGGGATGATAACATCTCCACTACCTCTCTTCGTTCCAGCCTGCATCATCTCTTGTCTGCTTATCTGCAAGAGGTACTGACCACTCTTGCCATCTTCACTTTCTCTCTCTCAGTCCAGCTGTCACACTAGCGTCAGAGAGTGATCTTTCTAAAATACACATTGAACTATGTAGCTCCCCTGTTTGTTTATTTATTTATTTGACAGAGAGAGAGACAGAGAGGGAACACAAGCAGGGGGAGTGGGAGAGGGAGAAGCAGTCTTCCCGCGGAGCAGGGAGCCCGATGGGGGCTCGATCCCAGGACCCCGGGATCATGACCTGAGCCGAAGGCAGACGCTTAACAACTGAGCCACCCAGGCGCCCCTCCCCTGTTTATTTCTCACTACATACAAATTCTGGGTTCTTCCTTACCCGGCCACTCCACCTTATGCTGCTTCAGTCCCTCACCACATTTTATTCTCTGTACTCTGTGCCATTTCATCTTTCCCTGCTGTTGCGTATGTGGCTCTCTTTGTCTAGAATGTCTACCACTGGGGCGCCTGGGTGGCTCAGTTGATTTAGCGACTGCCTTCAGCTTAGGTCATGATCCTGGAGTCCCAGGATCGAGTCCCGAATCGGGCTCCCTGCTGAGCAGGGAGTCTGCTTCTCCCTCTGACCCTCCTCCCTCTCATGCTCTCTGTCTCTCATTCTCTCTCTCTTGTTTCTCTTGTGGCGCCGCAAGAATACTCGCATCTCTTAAATAAATAAATAAAATCTTAAAAAAAAAATTTAAAAAGTTTAGAATGTCTACCACTACATTCACTAATGAATTCTTACTCATTTTTCAGTAGCTAGTTTAGCGACATGTCCAGGACACCTGTTCTCACCATTACAGATGGCATTAATCTTTTCTTGCCCTGTGATACGTCTTTCCCTTACATACACATGTTTCAGTTAGAGCAATTACCACTGGAAGCCATCATCATTTATGTGTCGGTGCCCTCCACTAGTCTGTAAGCTCCTCGGAAGCAGAAACTACATCTTTTTTCATTTTTTGTAAAGGTTTAATTTATTCATTTGAGAGAGGAGAGAGAGAGAGAGAGCATGCATGTGTGCACAGTGGTGGGGAGGGACAGAGAGCGGTAGAGAGAGAATCTCAAGCAGACTCCCTGCTGAGCACAGAGTCCAGTGTGGGGCTCGATCTCATGACCCCAAGATCATGACATGAACCAAAATCAAGAGTCCCACACTTAACCAACTGAGCACCCAAGCACCCCTCTTTCTTCATTTTCATATCCCTCTTGCTTATCATAGCTCTTAGAACATAATAGGTACTCAGCTCTGTTGGAAAGTTCTTCTGTCCATTGAACTGAAAACTTCTTTCCAATAAATACTTTCTATACCCTGGTTCAAGTTCTGCCCTCTGAAGCAACACAGCAACCAGTCTCTCTCCTCACAGTTTCCCTCCCCCTCATCACAAATCAACTTTATTGCGGCATTTGAAGACACTTCTCATTTTGCCCTGGGTATATGTTTCATCTAGGGTGAACAGCTTCCTTCCAGTAGCTCTTCCTCATGGACCTTCACCATCTGGTCTCCTTCCAGTTTAATGTACATAGCCCAGCCTAACACGTGAAGTCACCTCCTGCCCAGGCCTGTTTTTACACTGGCTTATAGTTCTTCTAGTTCTCATTTGCTTCACTAGGCAGTTCTTCCTCTTGGGACCTCAGCTTGTATGTGAACCAAGGTAATGTTATACTAGGGTTGTTCTTGAATTCTTAAGGCTGGTTAATAGTTTCCTTTTGCTTCATAACAAATTACCACAAATGTAGTGGCTTAGAATAGCACAAGTTTATTATATCACAGTTTCTTTGGGTCAGGAGTCTGGTTATGGGTTAGTTCTCTACTCAGAGCTTCAGAGGACTAGAATTTGGCCAGGGAGGCAATCTCCTCTGAGACATAGGATTCCCTTCCATGCTCACTGGTTTTTGGTAGGATTTAGTTCCTTATGGGTGTAGAATGAGGTCTTCCATATTCATGCTGGCTATTGGCTGGGGAGCACTCGCAGCTCTTAGAGGTTACCTGCAATACCCTACCACATGGCCCTCTACACAACATGGTACTTTTCTTTTTCAAGGTCTATAGGAAAATATGTGCTACAGATTGTTCAGATCTCTCTGACTTCTTTGATCCCTAAACTGTTTTTAAAGGGTTTGCCTGATTAGATCGGCCCCACCATATGCAAGGGAAGGAGATTATACAGGGTACGCACACCTGTATGCATGTGGGAATTTTAGAGGCCATCTTAGAATTCTACCTAACAGATCTCTCTTGGCCTCACATCCCCACATATTTTTGAGAACATTTTATTCATATTTTTGAATAAATACGGTGTACAAGCACTGTTCTCAGCACTGGGAGTACAGTATTGGTGAGATTCACATTCTGGTAGGGAAGGCAGGCAGAAAGCACTTAAACCAATATTTAATATGTTAGGTGGTGAGTAAGGACTAAAGAGAAATACAAAGCAGGTTAAAAGGACAGAGTAACAGGGGCACTTGTTTAGCTAGGTTGGTCTCTTCTGTTTGATGAGACACTTGAATAGAGACCAGAGGAAATGCAGAAGTGCACCATGTGGCTCTCTTGAAGAGTTATTCCAAACAGAGGGAGAAGCAAGTTTAGATTCGGGTGGGAGGGGGACATTGTGAGCAACGGAAGAGGCGGGCAGTAGAGGATATCAGAGAAATCACAGGGGCTGGATCATGTGAGGCCCTTGGACTTGGTTCTGATTAAGATGAGAAGCAGCTGGAGGTTTTGGGGAAAAGGGATGACATAATCTTACTAACATTCTAAAACGATCACTCAGCCTGCTGTGTGGAGAATTGGCTCTAAGTAAGCAAGGGGACAAGTTAGGAGGCTGTTGCAGTAATTCACATAGTTGATGATGGAGACTTGGACTAGGATAGTAGTGTTGGAAGAGGTAAGAGTGTTAGACTTTGGATATATTTGGAAGATAAAACTCAGGATTTGGAGATAGACTAGATGTTGGCTGCAAGAGAATGAGAGGGTTCAAGGACCAAGCCAAGGCTTTTGTGCCTGAGTAGTGTAAAATTAGAATTGCTGGGGTGCCTGGCTGGCTCAGTCGGTGGAGCATGCAACTCTTGATCTCTGGGTTGTAGGTTCAAGTCCCACATTAGCTATAGAGACTATTTAAAAAATAAAATCTTTAAAAAAAGTAGAATTGCCAGGTACTGAAGTGGTAAAACCTGGGAGAGGAAAAGGTGTTGTTTGTTTTGAAAACTTTTTAGTTTGAGGTAATTTTGGATTTATAGAAAGTTACAAAGATAGTACAGGGAATTCCCATATATCCTTCACCCAGCTTTGTCTGATGTTAATATCTTACATAACTAACTCTGGTCCTTGGTCAAAACCAAGAAATTAACACTGGTATAAACTAAACTGTAGACTTTATTTGGATTTTGCCATTTTTTCCACTACCATCCCTTTTTTGTTCCAGGATCCAGTCCAGGATACCACGTTGCAATTAGTCATCATGTCTCCTTAGTCTCCTCCCAGTCTTTCTTAGTCTTCTTGTTGGAAAAGTTTTCTTAGACTTTCCTTGTTGGAAAAGGTGTTTTTGGATATGTTTTGTTTTGTCTACTCCTTGTTTAGAAAATTTTGATTATTTGGTTAAGTAGGGAGTTAAAAATTCAGGCAGAGATCTGGACCGGAGATTTAAATTTGGGAACTTTCAACATGGAGTCCTCTAGCAGACTAGAGGTCACCTAAGGTGTGAGTGTAGTCAGAGAAGAGAAGTTTGAGGTTAGAGCCTTCCTTTACCTCAGTGTTTCAAGGTTGGAAGGTAGGGACCCAGCAAAAGAGATGGAGAATGAGTAGGAATTGAACTAGGAAGCGAACCATGTTTTTGCTTAAAGAATTTATTTATTTATGTATGTACGTATGTATGTATGTATGTATGTAGGCATAAGCAGGGGAAATGACAGAGGGAGAGGGAGAAGTAGGTTGTCCTCTGAAAAGGGATCCCGATGCAGGGCTCGACCCCAGGATCCTGGGTTCATGACCAGAGCCGAAGGCAGAC